ATTCCAGAACACATCAAGGTGCTGAATAACTGCCCGAGGAAGAAAATAAAAGGAATACGAAACTGCTACCCAGAAAGTTATCTAATCAAATGAGCTTGTAAATGTGATGCGAAGAAGGAGGGAGGAGACTTAAGCAGCTGAGAAAACGGGAAGAAGTGAAAATAGTGAAGTGTGATTACCTTTTACCATCTGGGAAGTGGGGAAACCCTGCCACCGGCTCTCCACGCCCAGCGGCTGGTGGCAAGGATGATGAGAATGATGACGATGATGATGAAGAAAAAGGAGTAATCATGCCCGTTTCAGCAGCACAGATACTAAAACCAGAAAGATACCAAGAAGGACGACATGCAAATTCGGGGAGCATTCTGCATTTTCTGTAACTATGTAAGCAGAGATGTGTTAACCAAATTTATTGTGGGGATCGCTTTGCAATATATACAAATATCATTGCGTTGTACACCTTCAACTAATATAACATTATATGGCAATCATACCTCTATAAGCCAGAGGAAAAAGAAGTAAGTAGTAACGGAGCAGGAAGTAGAAGGCAGAGGGGAGCTAGCATTCTGTTCAGCACAGACCAGACCCAGTGAGAGAAGAATGCAACGGGGATTGCGACCACACTTTCAGGACTGTTCTGTCGTCTGTCCTGTGTCTGTGTGCGCCAGAAACGGAATGCAAATCTGGTTCCAGAACCTGAAAGATCTGTTTACTTGTCACCTTCTCAGAAATCCAAGATGTGATTCCATGTTAAGCTCTGGAACTTCCCTACAAATATATCTTAAAAATTAGGCACAGAAAAAGTGTTATTTAGAAGTCATGAAATCTGTGTGATTCCAGGATAAAAGATACTAAGCTGCTTCTCCTTTATCTTTCTTTTTAAAAATTCCACCAGAAACAGCAAGAGTGTCACCTGCGGTCTTGGGGCACATCTGAAAATCAAACCCTCACAGCACCTGTGGAGACACTTTCATACGTTCATCCCATACTTAAAACAGGTTGAGTTTTATCTAGTAAACTCACATAGTCAAGACTCCTTCTTAGTTCAGTATCTTGGCAATAGGTCAAGAGAAACGTCAACATGTCACTGGAAAAAGATGTCAGGCCATGCTCCTGAGACTTGGCCAAACAGCCTAAGGGGTCGGCAGTCAAAACTCAGAAAAACTCCTACCCACTTAAGAGTTCTTCATAAGGATAAACCAAACAGAGGCTGAAACTTACCAGCAGAATCTTCTCAGTTCTTTTAAGAAAAAACTCCTAGATGGGAAACAGTTCAGGACTGTGGTCCTTTTACTACACAGGAGGTGTTGTTATGGAGACAGTTTTGCAGGCTCCCTGGCAATCCCAGTGTATAATTGAGGCTGGTGATCACAGAACAGCCAGCAAGTGGTCTCCATGGAGACCAACAAACATACATTCCCACAGCCACAGCAACTATTCTGAATCAATGACTCTTTATATAGGTTTAAAAACTTTGTGAATGGTACATCAATTGCTTCTTTTGTTAGACAATGTCTGATTAAGGATGCTGTAAGAGCGCTCATTCTCCTGCGTGCTGAATTCTGAGCAGTGTCTAGAGTAGGCGGTTTCCAACTCAATTCACAACCTAGAACTAGCGAAGACAAACAGTAAATCCAGACTCAGGAAATCACTGGTTGATCTGGTGGAAGAATTAAACTAGTGGTCGACAGAGCCAAAGAGAGCCTGCCAAATGCCAGCACTCACTATTCCAGGGCCGTCTAAATATTATGCAACCCTCTCAGCAAGGTAGACATTATTGTTACACTTGTTTACAGAGGAGTAAACGAAGCACACACCGAGAAAGTAGCAGAGCTGGGACTCAGAGCGAGGTCAAAATTAAGTCTGGGCTGGGGTTTAAGTGACGCTACATCACGCTCTGGGTTTGCACAGCACGCTGTGCTTCCACAGCCATCCTCACACACATTATCTCATATATGCTGCTTTTATCTTGAAACGTTGAGTCCAGGTTCTAGAATTTTCTGATTTTGCAGTATTGTACCCCTAGTTCCTGGCCTCCTCGCTCCACTTCTGCACCCACCACACACTCCAGACTCGAAGACTCATGTGGAACCATGCCTCAAAAAGCTGCCGCATCTCCCACCTGGACTGCGTGAGCAGCGCGTGAGCCTACGCAGTAATGGGAAGGGAAATCCCACCCCACAGCACCAACTGCGACTGTCCAAACTCTAAATAAAAACAGGGACAAACATTCCGATTAACCACTCATGGCATTTATCTATGCTCTTCCATGAGAGAAGGTCAGATTGCTGAGTGCTAATGTTTTGTTAAAGATCTATGTTCATGAAGGATATTGATCTGTGGTTTTCTTACAACTTTTTTTTTTGGCCTGGCTTTAGTATCAGGGTAACTCACTTTATAGAATAAATTGGGAGTTATTCCTTCTTCCTCTGTTTTCTAAAAGAACTTGCAAAGGAAAAAATACTTCTTCTTTAAATATGCGATAGAATTCATCAGTAAAGCCAAAGACTCTATTCACTGAGTCTTTCCTTTAATTCTTTAAACACAGTTTCCTTCAGATACCCGAACATACTTAAATAGCCGCTTTGCAGTCTTTTTCTGCTAAGTCCTATATCTGAGGACAGGCACCCAGGCACAATTCCTAGTGACTGCTTTTTTCCTGTGCACAAATCATGGTTTCTTGTTTCTCCGAATGTCCTAATTTTTTCGCTGAATACAGGGTATTTTAGATAACATATGGTAACAACTCTGGATTCTGACTTTGTCCCAGAGCATTTTTGTTGGTATTGTTGCTTTGATTGCTTCATAATTTGCCCCCTGGACTATGTTTGTGAAACCTGTCTGCCATATAAGGTATGGTTCCTGAGGTCTTCCCTCAATTTTTCTTCTTGTTTTTATTTTTAAACCTGCCTTTCTAGGGGTCATCCCCATGTCTGCATAGCTTAGTGTTCTGGCAAAGACTAGTTCGAGGTTTGCTCAGACACCTTGGGCCAGAGGCTTCTCTCTGCTTCCGACTCTGTGTGTGGGCTGGAACACATCCACACTTCGGGCTCTTTTCACGTCTGCCCTGGCTCGTCTTTCCGCCAGCTCTACCACACCTCCTCTGTGCACGCACGCGGGCTCTGTGGGCCAGGGATGCGTGAGTGCCCTGGGCACGCTCCCCCTCTGCTGCTCACGCACACAGACTAAGGTCAATCTGGCATTTATGAAGAGCAAGCAAGCCCCCCGATGGCTGTCTCACCTCCCAGAACTACCTGTTAAGTCCCCAGCTAGACCACTGGTCCACTGCTTGCCCCAAAGTGGCCTGGAAACTCAAGCTAGAGGAGCTACTGGCTCTTTTGTTCATTTACCACTGAGACGGCGACTTCACCTGACAACACTCCAGAGTCAGCCCCTTCTGGAAGCAGCAGCAAGTCTCTTGGTTTCTGCACTCTGGTTGAAATATCATACTTACAGAGATGGGGAGGAGGGGATGAGAGCAACCCTAGGCAAGACCGCCACAAACTCATGCTGTTCCTACTCAAAGTTTGTTAGTTTTTCATGAACAAATGCTTCTCAGTTTGTTGCGTGTTTTTGGTCAGTTAGAGAGCTGAAAGGGGTATCTTTGACAGTCTTTTTCCAGCTCTCTTGTTGCTTTTGGGGAGGATTTATCAACCTCCTCATTCTCTCAGGTCATAAGCCAGTTTCTCAGTCACTCCTTACCTTCCACTGGAATTAGAATGATTAATGCTACTCAGAAGTAGACCATGCAGGTAAAACGATCACCATGAAATTTATTTTCAAATAAAAATGTTTGTTCTTGTTTTCTGGGGGCCGGGGGAATCAACCAACAAACAAAGATGGCTAAAGGCACAAGTTTAAATGATTATTACATTAGATTAAATTAATTAAGAAATTTCACTTTGAAAAGGTACCAACAAAAAAAAAAAAGAAGAAGAAGAAAAGGAAAGAAATTTCACTCAATGGAAGCAGCACCTGGAACCCTGTACCTTGACCCCTTCACACACATCAGAGAATTGAAATGCTCCACTAGAAAGAAGCCAGTCCCAGAGCATTTCAGTTAAGGTCACTCATCCCACAGCTGCCTTTCTGCTCCTTCTTACTTTCCCATGTTTCTACCTGATGCTTCTGCCATGGTCAATGGGATACACACTGGGCATTTTTATAATAGTGCCTTTTGTGAAGGGCCCATCAAAGTCCCCCAGTGTGGCCATGTGTCTGTTTTCCTTTCTGTATTGCCTCTGATAGGCGGAGAGCTTTCGGGCAAGTCCCTGGAGCACTGGACTCTCACAGCCTGCAGGAAGGAGGCTAAGAATTGCCCCATGCGCCCAGGAATCCGGTGTCTTCAAACCGGAGGATGCTTAGAGGGCTGGAGTTTTTTATTTTATTTTTTTATTAATAGACTTTATTTTTTAGAGCAGTTTCAGGTTCCCAGCAGAATTGAGCAGAAAATACGGCGAGTTTGCACATAGACCTCCCCACCCACACATATAGACCCCCCTACCCTCAACATCCCTCATCAGCGTGGCATATTTGGTACAATCAGTGAACCAACAGACACATTATTATCAACCAAAGTCCACAGTTCACATTAGGGTTCACTCTTGATGTTGTACATTCTATGGGTTTTGACAAATGGATAATGACATGTAGCCACCACTACAGTATCATACAGAATAATTTCATTAGACGGCTCTTTGTTTGTTTGTTTGTTTGTTTGTTTTTGGCAAAAACTCTCATTTTCAGATGGGGAAATTAAAGCTCAAGGAAGTTAAGAGGCTTCCTCAGTTCACCTTCCAGGAATGGGATAAAGATTCTGTCCTCTGACAAAACAGGCAGAAGCCCTCAGACATCGTCACCTGAGCACGTGGCAGATCAGGCTCAGGGCCAGTGACCAGAGATGATTCCACTGGTCACAGAGATGACACTACACAGGTCTGAGAACACTGGTCACAGAGGCTCCTGAGACGGATGTTTCCCCACCTCTCCCTGTCTCTTACCTTAGCAAAGAAAATCCAGGCTGCACACTGCCCTGGGGCCATAAGGCTTTTTAGCTTCACTGTGCTCAGCATGAGAAAAAATCCTAAAAACCCACTGGAAGGAGAAAATAAACTTTTGTTAGTGAGACTGGTCTTCCTGCAGCCTGTAGCTACTTTCTGTTACATTTTATATTTACCTTTACAAGAATTAGTCAGTTTTTAGTTCTTATACCACTGATATCTCATCTCTGTTTTCTAGTGATCTCTGGGTTAAAAAGACCAAAAATTTTAAAAACCCATTAAGCTCTAGTTTGCTAAGGAGCTATGATGACGTCATTTCACTGGAGCTGGGGCGTGGATACAGAAGTTTGGGAGGACTCCGGCTAAATCATGACAGAAAAAAAATCTGGAGGATAGTATCTCCTGTCCCCTCCCCTGTTACTTCTGGAGCTTGGTGCTGGCTAAGGCAGACCTTCAACTTTTTTCCCAAGCAGGACAAACTGTTAGGAAAAGACTTCCAGGAGGCAGTTTAGTAGGGAAAAAAGATGATTTCCTTGTCACCCAAATCACCCTCCACCCTGTTGTTAAATAATTAGGAGGTCCTTGTAAGACAAAGTGTCTGTCCTGGAAGCTACCTGCAGTAACTGCATTCCTGTTCATTGCCTGTTCTTGGAAGGCTGTATCGCTCTGTTTCAGTTCGTTTATTCCGACCTAGATGCACTTTCAGGAACCACTGTCGTGCCCCAGCTTAGGAAAAACTGTGGACCGGAAGGGAAAATCTTGGGAATTTTATACCAGGAGGAGGGGTAAATGTAAAATGACTTAATTTTCCACAGTAACACGGCTCATTGTATGCATACATGTTGACTGTATAAACCTGCTGTACTTTGTGCTTGATTGTTAACATGGAAGAACAGCTGGAACATTTCTATAAGGAACAGAAAACATTTGTTTGGGGGATGATCAAACAAAAGGTGTCTTTTCTTTTGCATACAGCTTCATCAGAGTCCCTCCTGACTTGGCTTCCACATAAGTCAACACTGTTTAACAAGATACTTCTCTCCTATTTGTGGACTAAGGCCTTTCACCTTGGAATCCGACTTTAATAAAACAATTAGATCATTCAGTTTGAAAAAAAGAAAAAGAAAGAATAAAAGACATCCAAAGGAAAACTCACCATATGAAGTCAGAGGGTCTGGATTGGCCCCTGGGTTCCAGGTAAGAACCCAAAGGGGAGGGAGGGTGGGCTGCATATTTAATAGAAGTCCCCTAAACCAAGGCCACCTACACAGAAGCTATGCTTTGGGGATGATGCCTGAAAGTGCGGCCACCTCCCACAGGAGCCTGAGGCTGGGCAGCGTCTCGGAGGCTATTCAGAGGTCTGGACCAGCAAGGCACTGGCACCGTACTGGACAGGGAAGCAGTGTGCTGTGCTGGAAGCATTTCAGAAAGCATCACGGTGTGGTCAGGGCCAAGGTAAATCGTGCTTCAGACAGAACGGCCACTCTTCCTGGCATTTGGAGGCAGGGCAATTGGGGAAGAGGGTGTGGGAGAGAGATTCCATGACTTCCCGCAAATATGTAAAAGTGGGGTTTCAGCAGGACTTCTATTAGAGATTCAAATTGAAGAAACGAGATATGACTGCAGCTGCACCTCAAGCAGGTCATATGAGCTGTACCTCCTCCAGGGGGTCAAGGGCCACACTGCCATCTGACCTCTGTTATAGGTGCTAGGGTGTGGCTCCCATGCAGAGCATGAGCCCTGAGAAGGAGGGGCCCAATCCTGGGCTTCTCTGTATTTTCCTGACAGAGCTGAACAAGATGCCTCGGTCACAGCAGGTGCTACATAATTGTCTGACAGGTGTATTTGGAAGCAGATTGAATTGAACACACCTAAAACCACATTTCACAGAGATGTGCGCCTTCACTTCGTTAGATTAGATTAGGTCACAGCCACATTCTTGGGACAGGACCAGAGACAGGGATTAGGTTTCTTTTGTGTGTATTTCAGCCTCTTTGGCCTAATGATCTGCAAAGTTTGCTCAGATTGGTATCTCTGGTCATGCGAGTCTGGGCAGCAGTGGATTAAGACGTTGAGCCACTCCCACAAGGAGCCCCTGTGGGGAGACAGCAGGCTGGAAATCAAGTGACCTGGGATTCCATTCCTCGCTGTGCTCACTGACCCTCATAATCTTGACCAAATCCTCATATCCCCCCTTTTTTTCTTGCCTCGGGTTCGGTTCGGTGTTCTTAAAGCAGGAATAAGCATCGTGCTCTTCACCCTATCTTATGGAAATCAGAGCTTTTCAAAACAGAAGTTTCACTTTATTAACAAGGAAACCAAGGCATAGGCACAATTGGAATCCAGGTTTTCTGGCTCTTTCAAAGCTCTGCACGGCCCTTCAGACCTCATCATGGAAATGTGCTCCAGACCAGAGAGATGGAGGGAGAAGGTCCGGGTGCCCGCAGCTGCGGGGCTGGGATTGGAGAGTGGGGCAGCCAGCGCTCCTCCTGTACTGTCCACACCCACCCTCCCCGCAGCCCCCGCTTCACAGGTGCCTGTCAATCTCCTGTACCTCCTTCTCCTCTCCTCTCCACGTCCAGCCAGGGAAGGGCAGAGTTCCATGCTGACCTTTCCCCTCAACACCAACTCTGCTCGGACTCAGCTACTCCTGGCTTGTGACCAACACACTTCTGAAAGCATCCATGACTCTCCTCGTCACTTGACTTGCACATCGGTGAATCATCCCTAAATGACTCCCGGGTCCCTCCCTCATCCCGCTCCTTCTGCTTCCAGCTCTCCTACCCCTCGCGGTGGAGGCAGATCCTAAAAGCACTGGGAGGACCCCAAAGTGAATGAGCCTGGGGCTCCCTGTTCACAGGGTCTCCAGGCCACAGCTACCACAGCCCCTCAGGCCCCCATGGCCCCTTCTGAGCCCCCCCCCAGACCTCTGAAGGTGACAGCTCTTAGTCTGAAATAAGGTTATGGGGGAGTCACGAGATGACATGGGGAAACTGACTCGTTCTTAAAAGAGGGTCAGCTTTGTACTGAAGCCAGAAGGTCGAATGTACTAGAGAATTAAATCAATTCCCATAAAGATTTCTAAATCTTTTAAATGAAAAAAAAACTTATTTTTCATGTTGGGTTATGAGAAAGTTGCAGGTTAAAAGGGGTAGAAATGGAGGCAGAATGTCACCCCACAACATGATCACCAATGGGCCGTGAACTGGGTTGCTCTGCTCCAAATAACCAGACGTGGTGGCCCTCCCTCCGCACACTGGTCACACACATGCCTAACAGCCAGGCCTAAAGGGAAGCAAGTCCACAGGCACCAGGGCAACACTGACACTCACACCCCATGATCCTAGCCAACCAGCAGGTGACGAGGCCTGACCAAGTTGATAGGAACTGAGAAGATGAATTCTGCCAGAGTTTTCCTGAAACATTTCTGGGGATGATAAATAAATCATTCTGAGGCTCAAATGCAGAAGCAAACTCTATAATAATGATTTTTTGTTTGTTTGTCCTAACACACCCCCATCAGAAGCAGCACCTAGGTGCATATCAGCTTTTTTACTCTCTGTGCAGAATCACTGCTTCCCAAAGTAAGACCTACGTGTGTGGGAACAGGTGGTCTGGCTTTACGTAGCAATTGCTCCTGGTCTGTTGACATTTGATTTATGGGCAATAACAATGTCCATCATTTACTGGGCTGGGCAAGATGCTTAGGACTTCGTGTATCTTATTTAATACACACAATCATCCTGTATTGGGATTATCTCTCCATTTTACAGATAAGAAAACTAAACTGAGGCTTGGGAGACCTAGAATAACTGGCCCAAAGACCACACAAATTAGCAAAAACACAAGGCTGGAATTCAACCCAAGTCTGGCCATTTGACCTTATCAGAATCCATGCTTTGAGACTGTCCATAGAAGCCTTTCCATTTCTCAGCACAATAAAGTCAAGTGAAGTGGGGGTCATAGCAGGAAAGGGGGAATGGGGGTGGAATTTCTATATATCTAAATGTGTTCATCTAGATGAAAAACAAGGTCCTACTGTATAGCACAGGGAACTATATTCAATAGCGTATAATAACCTATAATGGAAAAAATACATACATATAAATCTGAATCACTATGCTGTACACTAGAAATTAACACAACATTGTAAATCAACTATACTTCAATTTTAAAATATATGAACTTTCACTTATTAAAAAAACAGTATTTATCTAATTAGTCCACATCCCTGATACTTCCTAAGGCCAAGTATTAACATAATCACCTGTTGCCCAGACTTCTAGTCATTCTGTCTCTGAGTCTAAGGGTTCAGTCAAAGTTTTTTGGAGATTGCCCTTTAGGAACAAGACAGAGGTCAAGGTAGAAGCTGAGAGAGTGTGATTCTGGACCCAAATCTTCCCTTGAACTGAGTCAGTTCAATCACTTTTATACACTGAAGTTCTGTTTAAGAATTGCTCATGGAGAAAAACAAAACAAAAACAAAAACGAGGGACTCCTATCTTTTCTGCACGTCTGAAAACCACTGCCCTGGCTGAGGAGACTCTCAGGACAGGGGTCCTTGCAGGTCCCAGGCCGGCTCCGAGCACCTGAGGATGTCCGTAACAACCCACTGACGGCCGAGGAGGGGGCTCCCACACCCGCCCCGGCCACTGCTCTCTTCCGCCGCTCCTTCAGATGAGGAGCAGTGACCCGGGACTTCACGAAGACGCAGCCGGTAGTAAAGAAACACACAAATCCGTGGTGCGAGGGGGTTTTATGAATT